ATATGAAAATTGCCAAAGATACGAAAATATCTTTACATCTAGATATCTCCTGGAACTTAAAATAAGGGATTTCCAATATCCTGTTTTCTAGTTGTGTGAACTTGGGCAAGTTATTTGACACCTCTGTGCTTCAGTTTAATCATCAGTAAAATGTGGGTAGTAATAGCACCTAACTCAATGTGAATGAGGATTAAATGAAGTAAAGCAAATAGAATTGTGCTTGGCTTGTAGTTAGAGATCAATACATGTTAGCCATTTTTATTAACTCCGATAATTCTACATGTGTGTTATCCAAATATTTAAATTCAGTCACTAAGAAATCCTTTTGATAAGATAGGAATCTATCTTACTCAATACACTTTATCAAAATTTATATCCCTGCTTTTAGTAGTTTTACAAGGATATAAAGAGATGAATATGACAAAAACAAACAAAAAACAAACAAACAAAACAAACAGTATTGTTGAACATTCTTTACTGGGGCATGTTTATAATGTTTATAGCCTCACTAGTACAACTGTGTTTTACAGTTCTGTGTATTATAATGAATGCCTACTTCTTGGGTGATTTAGTTCAATGTCCGTATAGTATACTGTTAGAAATGAATATGTAGGGTGAGTAAACAATGACTTTATCCCTCTTATTTTCTACCTCTTACAGATATAACCTCTTAAAAAACTAAATTATAAACTTCACAGATCATTAATCAGGCAGGATTTCTACTATTTCTTATTACCTTTATTTATAGAAATAGAGAGTGAACATTAGCAAGGTTCTGTAAACTTATTAGGGCAGAAGGCTATTTTAACTATTATCCAATAAGCTGGTAGATATGATAAAATTTGTAGAGGATTAGAATAATCTAAAAGGGTAAAATGTATTATTTTAAATTATGTTTTGCTTTAACTATGAGTTAAAAATTTTTTAAATTACGTAAATGTTCATGAGGAAAGAGGAGAAAACTAACAGAAAAAAGCTATTTTTAACATTAGAGATGAAGGCAGATATAGTAAATAAAGATGTATCACTTTTGTATTAAATTAATTTCACTTTCTAAAAAAGGCAAGTTTACTATATTCACCAATAAAAATGTTGATAGATGATAGGAAAAGAATTACAAAATAAAATTCTCAACAGGACAGTTTTTATATTGAGTATTTTAAATTTATGAACATCATTGTTGATAACCATCAAATACATATATCATACTCTGTATAAAGGAACTAATGTACCTAAGAGTTGTACCAATTAGTTAAATATTTAACTTTAAGAGAAGAAAGCTTTATATAATAAATGAAGGTGCTGAATAATGAAGTATCAGGGAAGAAAAAGGGAGATATTTAAGATGATAAACAGTATATATTTTGGCCCATATAAAGGATCAACAGACCTTGAAATTAAACATTTTAGAAAATTTGCTGGCATTTGAAAAATTATGTTTGAATTTAACTGACTGAGGAACAATAAGAAAGGCAGGCTGTCCCAATTATACTTATATTTCCATTGTGTCATTACAGGAAAACCCAAATATTTTCCACCATATTTTTTATTGTGCTTCAGTTTTGGTGGGTGGCCCCTTCTTTATTGTCAAACAAATTAGTCATACAATTATGCTGGCTGTCCTTTACCCACTACAGAGGTCATGATAGCAGACTGTCCACTTGGCCAACACTTCTTTGGCACCCAGCCACCTTGAGAATGCCCCTGTTGCCCAGGGCTCACTCCCGCCTCTGCTGATTGAGCTGCATGATTCCTGATCCAAGCAGAAGGTTCCTCTGTCGTAAGTAAGTGATAGGCATGTATTTCTAGAGAGGAGATGCTTATAGGTGACCTCAGCTCCATTATGTTAGAGACAGCCCTTAATGAGTGAAGCTTCCTCTGGCCCGTTTAGACAATCTTTAACTTCCCTTTGTAGTCCAAATACTTTTAAAGACTTTGGTTTGAGTTCTTACACATAATCAAATTATCTTTAGAAAAGCAAAACTTGTTTTTCTATAGCCCCTGGATTGCTAATAGCTGTCATCTTTTTAGGACTTGATTTGTACTAGTTTTCATGCTGGAGGCACTCACAAAGACAGTCATATCTGGCTGGCTTGAAAAGCATGTATTAGCAAGATTTATGCAACTATTTTTTGGGAGGTGGGCTAAGATTATTTAAGTAATATCAGTGGCACTCATATGCACCACTCAGAGTCCAGTGGTGGAGGCATCATGGGATTGGAAGGTATCTTCTGAATAGGAAGGTTTTTAAATAAAATAATGTCTTTTGTAGTATATGAGCCAAAAGTTAATTTTATATAAATGAACCTCACAGGATTATTTTAATTTATGATGCTTTTTCACATGGCTATTGATGTAATTTAAAATAGACAAATTCAGGTTCCTTGGGCTGACTCTGCTTGTTCTCACAGTTTCTGTCTGGTTTGTATTCCGTAATCTTTCTACATGAACTCATGCTGCTAGTTGCTCATTAAATTGTTCTTGCCTAAGTACTTCCTGATCAATTCTATTACTATTTGTTCTTATTCTTTCTTCGTATTGATGTTAACTGCTTGGTAATTTCCTGGATCTCCCCTTTGGCACATCTTAAAAATTAGACTACTTATTATTACAATTATTTTCTTGACTCTGCAGCCCATTCATCATTCTCTATTTCTGCAGTGTTTATGACTTGAATATCTACAAAATGTAAACATATTATTTTTATAAAACAAATATCTTATCATGAGGATAATATTCTCAAAGATTTCTTAGCAAAGAGATTTATAGTTCACTAAAATGTACTTTGAACATACTAAAATAAGAAACAAAATTAGTGGATAAAAAGTAAGCATTAACAGCTAATATGCCTTTTTTGGGAAATCATTTGGCTTTTTCTGAATGAAATAAATGTAAAAGTCATGTTATTAAAATTAATTACTTAAAAATTCAAAAAGTACTACTTTTTATTATTCATCTTTGAGCAACATATGTTATCTCTTTAAATATTTTTTATTATTTTATCAAATATTGCTTTTTATTAATTACAACATAGATCTAACCTGGTTTTTAGCCTTTAATCACAGAAGAGACATAATTCATTAATTAAACTATAATGATTACTGAGTTAATCATGGGACATCAATAAGTCATAGCCCCTGAGTATAAGAAGTTCACAACCCAGTGAAGTAAGAGCAGTAAGAATGTATAATACTGTGTTTAAATAATTAAGATATTCTTACAGAATACAAAGGCGGCCAGAATTAACTCTGACAGCCACAAGTTGAGAAAAGTTTCCATACTAGAGGAGTAAATATTTGAGTCTTGCTTTGAAGGTTAGGGTATTCCAGACAGAGGTCACAGCACATGCAGATGACACTATAAAAGTATACCTTTTCCCATATGGGTAGATGGAAAATGCAACGGTTCTTTGTTTAATATTGGTCTCTTCTGCAGGATTGGAATCTCCCTGTAAGCAGATAACATGCTGATTTTGTTCACTGCCCTAGCAGTCTGGCATAGAGCTTGGCATATAGTAAATAATATTTGTTGAATGAATGAATGCATTGTGAAGAGCTAGGTTCAAGTATATGAACTATATTCTTTCTGTGGGCAGTGTGAGTCATAGAGATGATTAAGCATTGAGTCCTATGATCCCATTTGTTATATGGGAAGATGAAAGGCAATCCTATTGAAAATGTAGAGGATAGATACAAATAGGACCAGACTATGGAAGATAGATGAGTTAGTCATTCCAGAAGCAAAATGAAGTAAACTTACAGTGGTGAATTTGTGGTTGATAGCACAAGCTTCTAAAATGTGGTAGAAAGGATTCATGGACTGGTTGGATGTGGAGGGTGAAAGAGAGGCAGAAAGGAAGAGGTCTTTGGGTTAAGAGTTTGGGAAGATAGCAGTACTAAAAACTGAGAACAGCGATTGTTTTTTGAGGAGCAAATTTTATGGGGAAGGATGGGTTTAAATTTGAATGCTCTTAGTTTGTTTTCTTAAAAAGACATCCAGGTAAGGCAAAATCTGGGTTGAATATGTAGCTGTGGAATTCATCAGCATGGAGTTGATGCTTGAGGTTACTGGAGGAAATAAGGTTAACAAGAAGAGTGTAAGGAATAAAGAGAGAACAAAAAAATGAATTGGAACCTTTGGGGGAACACAGACATAGGAAGGGGAGAAGGAGTCAACAGACAAAAGAGGTAATATGGATTCAAACATAAGCTTTGGGACAATACTGTCTTAGGTACTTTGTATATGTTAGATTATTTAATTTTTACAACATCTCAGGGAGGACTTATCAGAGGAGTAGGAACTTTTCCAGGAAATGAATCCCGAAACCTTGACTGGAGGGAGTTTAAGTTTACAGTGGCAAACTTAATCTGTAAAAGACTAGGTAGTAAATGCTTCAGGCTATCCTGTCTCTACAGCAACTAGAGTGCAACTAGGCAACTCTGCTTCTGTAGTAGAGAAGCTGTAGACAAGTAAACAGGTACGGCAGGGTTCCAAAAAAACTTAGTTTGTGGACACTGAAATTTCAATATCATATACGTTTTACATGTTGTAAAATACTATTCTTCTTAGTTTTAAAACTATTTAAAATTGTGAAAACTGTTCTAAGATCACGGGCCATACAAAAACAACGAGTGGGCTGTGGTTGGCTAATCTGTGGATTAAAGAGAAAGAAGGGTGCAAACTGTTAAATGCAAGCATTTGAGTCCGAATAATATCACTTGAATGTTGCAAGTAGGAGGCAGTTGATAACCTAGCAAAAGTGGTTTCAGTAGAGTGCAGGGGCAGAAACGCCTTTTTATTGTTAGGTTTGGGAATAATTAGGAAGTTGATAGAATAAATGTAGGGATTTTAAAATGTTTAACAGGAGAGAAAAAGACAAATGTGACAGCTTAAGGGAAAAGTAATGCTCAGGAAGGTTTTTTTGTTTCATTTGTTTGTTTCAGCATGTAGGTCATTTGGCCTTTTATTTTTTATTTTTTTTTTAATTTTTATTTTTGTAGATAAAAGAGCCATGTGAAAAAGAAGAGAGATTACAGGTTTAGGAGAGAAGAGATCATTGGCAGAACAAGATCTTGTGGAAGGTAGGAGGACATAGGGTTCTGTATTCAGGTGGACAGATTACCTTTGGTTCCCCTTGTCTTTTGATTGAGGTTGGCCTATGCCATCTTGTTCTTTCCTGTGGTCTCTATTCTGAATTGTGCTTCTAAGATAGCTTCTAATATGGCTGAAAGGAACTCAGTTTCATCCTTGAAATAATTCAGTTTGACAGATAAGTCTGGTGTTACTATCAACAATTTACGGATAAAAAAATGAGGATGAAGAGTTCAATATATTCAAAGACACCTAGTTAACAGATGGTAGATTAGTAACCCAGATACTCTAATTCTAGCTCAAATTCCCTTTTTATTGTATTCTGCTTTTTCCCCTACTTCTAAGTTTGTAACATGCAAAAGAGTTTATTTTAAATAAGTTCTGAATTAAATATTCATCCATGTACTTGTATTTAGAGATCTTTTGATTTAAAGGCTATGTTACAGTGGAGTCATATCCCTGTAGTTTTTTATTTCTGAAGTTTGACATCAATGCATATTGATTTTTTTTTTATAATTAGATGGGCTTTTTGGCTTCTAATGGTTAAGATCTCAGAAAAATTGAATTGCAACTCTTGCTATGTCACTGTATTTAGGTAATTCCTCTTCACGTGCACAGAGACCTGCTCAAATGATGTCATTTGGAGGATAATTGTCTTGTCATGCTCAGCCTTTTCTAGGGAGTAGGCAAACGGAATATTCCAAGGGTGAAAAAAACTTGCCGAGTACCTAGAGATGTTTGTAAATAGTTGAAACATAATGGAGAGGGTTTATTTAATCCATGCTGAGGAAATTTTAATATTAACTATATCTAAGTTCCATCTCTTTTCCCCTCTATTTTCAAAACTATTGAAGATTGTTGTAGAGATGTAATCTAAAAATAATAAGGGAGTACAAGTAGTAGTGTTTCAAAACTAAATTCTACCTGCAGCTTGAATTCAACTAGAGCTTCCATCTATCCAGAGGGGTTTGGAGACAATGGTACCCAACCTGATGGAGGAGAAGTAATTGTTTCCTTTGTGTCTTGACCACTCTACCTGCCTAATGCAACAATTACTAAAGGCCTTAAGGCTAGAGCCTTTAGTGTGTGCCAGCAAGGAAAGGCAAGGGGACTCTAGGGAAAGTCGTTTTAAAAAAAACATAAATGAGCATACAAGCGTAACTAATGCATATAGAAACATTTTAGGTTATGAGAAAACTATGTTGGGAAAGGAGTTTGACAGGAGAAGGAAGCCATAGTACAGTTCCAGAACACACTTTGTATAAAACTAGAAAGCAATTTAGAATAAATTGGTGGAAAAGGATGGTATTCAACATGCCAAATTATTAAATATTTCTTACTACCTGTAAGTCACATCTCCGACATGCTTGTTTATTAAAGAAAAAAACAAAGCCACGATAAGACGGCACTTTTCTAAATGTCAAGGTATAGGAGTCAAAATGTTACATGAAGATGAAATTATTCTGTGAATAAATCATTTCAGAGCTCTAATTAAGACCCTAACTTAATTTCCATTTAATTTCAGTTGGTTTTTTTCCCTCCTGCCCTAGACTCACTCTCTCTCCACAGAGATCCCTGGGGATATCAGTCTCTCATCACTAACTTGACCCCTTACCCTTACATCTCTGAGTCCAAAGTCACCCAGAAGCCAATTATATATGTGTAATTTTGGCACACTGATGCTATTTTGATTGTTATTTAATGATTTTTCTGTACTACAATTCTTTGCTTCTGAGATAAAGCCATGCAGTTATATTTTCTATGCTGTATCTTCTTCTGAAAACAAATGCTTGACACATGTGTTTCTGGAACAAATTGTCTTCCTCAATGGAGATACAGCTAAGATGTCCTTTCCAAAGAGATTACAGAAACAAAATGTTTTGAACTTTCCTTCTAATTTATTGTATCTGGTGAGTGCTGTAATTAAAGATTAGAAACCACAGGAAATTATTTCAAAGCGTAAAGTTCCCTGGAAAGAGATTATCTATTTAATTACCAAGAAGGTTCCTTATTGTAAAATTCAAATTTTTCAAATAACAGAAACTCAGGTAATAATTTTAAAAATATTTCATTGTGAAATATGACACAGATATAGAAGAGTACACAAAATAAGCATACATTGTATTGAAAAATTATAAAGCAAACATCCATGTAAAGACCATCCAAGAAAGAAAAAAAATTAATATTGCCAAAGTCTCAGAAGCCCTCCATATGTCAGTTTTCTGTCAAATTCCCCTCCATTCCCCTTAGAAGTTACCATTATTCTAACTTGTATGGTAATCATTTCCTTGTTTTACTTTATAGTTTTTCTGCATATGAATATATTCCAAACAAACTTTGTATATAGAGAACCATACTGTTAATGTATTTGCTTCCATATTACTTCTTTTGGTCAATGTAATGTTGGTAATGTTTTTCCATGTTGCTGTGTATAGTTCTAGGCTGTTCATTTTTATTATGATAGGTTATTTTGTTGAATGAGCATACCTACCTCATGCATTTATTCCATTGTGGAGAAACATTTGGGTTGGAAGGCAGGTATGATCACCACTATACAACCAATGCTCCATGACATTTGGGTTGACATTTTGGATATTACAAATGTTATTGGAATGAATATCCTTGTATATGTGTCCACTTTATACACATTTTTTAAGTGACATTGGGAGCACAGGCTTTAAATTGACCAACTGTGTAGCAGTCACTCTTTTAGGGAATAAATGTTTTTTCTTTCCATTCTGTTGTCACTCAGTGAACTCCAAAAAACACTCTGTTTATATTCTCAATTTCTATCTTAAAGTTAAAGGGTGCTTAGGTATACTGGTATGCTGATTAACCACCATTCGTACTCCAACACCTCCCAAACTATTGTCTATCCTTCCGTGTTCTGCTTTATTTATTCCTTGGCAGGTTAATGACTACTGAGGGTTGTCCTCTGGTTGTGTTTGGCCAATGGGAGATTGGGTTTGGCTTCTAATTCTGGTGCCTTTGGCTAATAGGATGCACAGGGAGGATATCTGATGGGAGAGCAGTTGGGGTATTTTTCAATGACTTCCTCCCTGTTTTCTAACTGAGGCTCTGACAGTAGATCCATTGCTTCATGACTCTAGTTCCTTCTGAGAGGTCCATTCTCCATGGATTCAGTTTTTGCTGGATTCCAGGACCACTATTTTTTCTCTTGTCCTTTCAATTCCGAGAGTGGCAATGGCTTTCCAATATTGCTAGTCTCTAAGTACTTACTGTCACTTATTTGTTTCCCTGTTAAAGTCTTCTTTAATTCATTTCAAGTAAATTCTGTTTCTTGATGAGACCCTGACTGATATCTGGTTTTTGAATTTTCTTTAAATAGAAGTTGCAGATGTTTTTTTCAAGTACAATAACTATTCAAATTTTCAGAATCGTTGTCAGATTTGATTTTAGGTTTAAGTAAAAAGGCATTGCTAAAAATGAAAACATCCATCCAAATATAAAAAGAGGTACACAAGACTGGTCAGTGTAATTGAATATTAGGTGATGTGCATGAAAGTGAATTGAAATATGCATTATACGAATTAATCTAGGATCATAAAATTGAGCCCATATTCCTTGTATGCAAGCTGGTGACTAGTCAAATAATTCATGATTTTCTAAATCTTGAATGTTCCACAGTTTTTTAGTTTACTCCACTTTTATAAATATGTTTAAAGGGCTCTTCTTCAAGGCCAATGAAACTTCCCCTGCATTTTATCTGACTTTCTCTTGTTCTGGTTTCTGTAGAGAGTGCACCACACCAATAACTGCAATAACAAGGCCAGATAAATACAGAGTCTTCATATCTGAAATAGCCAGGAATTTCAGCATTTCAATTGGCCACAGGTTCTACCCTTATTTTCAAATTTTTAAGCTTGGAGGAAAAAGTATACATAACCTCTCAGAATTCCTGCTCTACTGAGCTCAGAAAAATGCGTAATTCTAGCGTAGCTTTTATAAGCATTGTTTTTGATGACCCTAAGCTTGGTATGAACTCCTAAATCTACATTGAGGAAACACCTATTTTTGATAAACTATTTTTGTCTTGGGTATTTTGATTTCGTCATAGTCCAGCCCAGATGACTAAAGGATAATTAACAAAGACAGCTTTAGTTTAATTTGATAATAATATAACGAAGTCTCTCCCTGGGACCATTTGTATTACTTCTAAATGTACATACCCATCAAGTATTTAAGCGTGAGCATAAACAACCTAAAGTTCACCTATGCAGGGAAGAAAAACAAAAACTAAATATCTGTGTATTGAATTTACCTTAGAGATACTACTCTTGGATAGATATAGGTAGTGAAGATTTTGTCAAAATATTTATTTGGCTTTCTTTGAAAATGTATACCTTAATATATATCTAGAATAATATAACAAATCTTGGTCTTGCCATGTTATTTCTAAGGTAAAGGGCATTGTGATGTTCACATTTCTCAGAACAATGCCTGACACATAGTAGGTACTCAATAAAAACCATATATTGTTGTTGAGTAAGCCAAATGCTATTCATTCATTGAAGAGATCCATTATAATTCTTGATAATGGCTAAGTATTTATTATCATATAAGCTTCATTTAATATTCTAACAATTCTGTTGCTTTTGGTTTTAGTGTTTTGCATGCAGTATGAAACAGATTGTAAAGATGGACTCCTGTGGAATATGCTGTGTTTGGTGCTAATTCCCAATCAAGATGTGTGTATTGCTTAATAGCCTCTGAAATCTGTATGAAACTAATGTACGGTTAACAATTTTACAACTGTCCTCTCTTAACACAAAACATAAGGCTTTTAAATAAAGAAAACAGATTTAAATACAATTTGTATCAACACATGGCAGTAACATTTTTACCTGGGGAAATGAAAAAGAATGTAATGGATTTTAATGCATACCACAGTAGCAATAGATGCTCAGCATTACTTTGACATTACAGTATCTTTTACATTTTCAAAAATAATTATTTTTGTCTTTTCTAGTTCTACTAACTAGTTGCTTCAAGTTTTTAAATCTATAATTTCTGACAATTTGAAATGAGTCTATTGTGTGTGTTCATACATGTATACACACTCATACATATATACATATTTAATTTTTACACATACTTTTTAAAAAGTTACATAATTGCTGACTCTGACATCTTTGCTACTACTCTCTCTTCTGAGCCTTGGTTATATTTTAATTGAATGTGTTCAGTACTTGGAAAAATACAAGTTGGAAACCAGTTAACATCATGGAAAAAAACAGTGCTAAGATGCAATGCCAAAGAAAAAAATGGAGTATAAGTAAGGTTGGCAATATAAGGAACAGGTTTAGTAGTACCCAGTGTACATTTCCAGATAAATTTATTAATGTTCTTGGGGTGCCTTTGAGCTGTGTAACATGAAAGTGTGGATACAAAAACATTTTGCACAGAATCTGGCACATGGAAAGAGCTCAATGCATTATTAGCAACATGCATCTTCTTTTGGGGGAGGCAAATGCCCCTCATCTATGTGACAGTCTGTAATTCATCAGTACATTATTCAAAGCTTCTTTGTTGTGTAAAATTTGTATAGTTTTCTCTCTTTACTTGTCACAGACTCAGTGAAGCAAATGATTAGTGTCCTAGACTATGGGGCTGTAACTTGGAGGTCCCTTTTATTGCATACTTGAGGAAATTGAATACCAGAGCAGTTAAATAACTCACTCGATTCACCTGTTACTGACAAAATAGGACCGAAGTCACATCACTTTACTCCTCATCCTGTGCTCCCTTACTCAGCTCATATTCAAATGACGAACTAAGTTGACAAAGAATTTTGATAAATCAGAAAATAAACACTGTTTTTTATAATATAGATTATAATTTCCAAACTGATATTCATATGTATTATTAAAGTACAGACATCTTTCACACACAAAGAGGAGGTGAATGTAACAAATAAATTCTGGATATTTTAAAGGAAACTGTGATTTGACAGAAACAGAAGAATTTTTATTATTGCCATACATTTCACAGGTTGATATTTTAACATTTTATAGGAATCAAAGTATATAGACATAAGAATACAGATTAGGAGAAAACTGGGGTTCTTGTCCTGTATTTATCATGTCTCGGCTGTTTGACTTTGGCAAGATTAAGTTCTTTGAGTCGTACCAGTTAGGTTTGAAAATGAATATATTTGTTTCTTGGTTTTGGTGTGAAGATCATGTGATAGTGTTTTGTAAACTGTAAAGCAGTGTATATTGCAAAGTGTTATCATTACATAGTAGAATACAGTAGTTAAGAACAACTCTTGAATTATCCTGTCTGTGTTGTAACATTGTTTCTGCCTCTTATTGGCAAGTTACTTTTTAGGCCTCAATTTCCTCATCTATAAAATGGATAAATTAACAGCACTTTCCTCAGAGTTTTAAATTCATTTAAACTGATTAATTTGAATAAATAACACCACTATATTTTTAACACTACTGAGAACATTGAAGTATTTTATGTTTATAAAATCAATATGTTTTACATTGCATGATTAATAATATGATATAATAAGTATAATCATTAAGAAAAAGAAAAAATGTCAAATCATTCTTGAATATTCCATTTATTAAAACGTATAAAAGACTAGTAAAAGTAAGTGGGGAGGAAGTCTATTAAACAAATTCACATGAAATGACCTGAGAATGAACACAGCTAATTAAAAAAGCAGGCTAAGAACTATCTTTACTTAGAATTCTTCTCATGTCTTGGCTCAACTGACCATTATAACCTTATTTGTCTTAATGATAATTCCTCATTTTATTCCCAGCTGTGCACCATGTCCAGAATCATAGAGAAAAAAATTGACTTATTTTGGCCTGAGTTCTGTGTTCAGAGAGTGCAATTACACATATCAAGATTAATAGAATAGTTTTACTTTGGAATCTGAAAGAGAAAGAAGTAAGAATCAATAACAAACAGATAAATAGGATAATAGGAGTTTAAAACATGGGTACAATTTTGGATCCCTTGGTAAATCTCTCTCTAAAGTGTAACACTGTAAGGTAAGTTTTTTTTTTTTGCAAAAAGCATACTTGAATAGGAAGAAAGAAATTCAATTTGTAGAAAGAGGAAAATATCAGGTTTTTAAATTACAAATAGTCTTTCAGTTGATAGAAACATAGATTAATTTGGGGGAAATTATAAAATTGCTGGGTTATTTTCAGCAATCAGTCATGTAAAATGCTGTCCTAAACACAATGTTAGGAAATTTTTTTTAAATTAAATTCATACTTGACTCATTATGATTCATTAATTTTTAAAAACTACATTGTTGAGCAAACAAGAACTGACCTGTAGCATACACAATCAGCCCTTATAGAAGAGTATTTATTTGAGAAAATTCACAGTGATAGGACACTTGCAGGGGTGTTGCCCTGACACTCTGGGGCAGCACACAGCAATAGAGCAGTATCATATGCCAATGCAGACTCTTAAGAGAGAGAGCCTTTGGGCTGGGACTTTTAAGCTGAACGATTAGGGAAAGACTAGTTCTTACCCTGCCATGATCAAGCGATGAATGAACATTCCTCAAAGATGGAAAAGGAACTTTACATACTCTTTTCAGTTGCACAAGAGATGGTCATATCACTTTAGAAAGAAACATGACTTGGCTGGGCGCAGTGACTCATGCCTGTAATCCCACCCAGTTTGGGAGGCCGAGGCAGGTGGATCACCTGAGGTCAGGAGTTCGAGACCAGCCTGGCCAACATGGTGAAACCTGCTACTAAAATACAAAAATTTAACCAGGTGTGGTGGCAGGCACCTTTAATCCCAGCTACTTGGGAGGCTGAGGCAGAAGAATCACTTGAACCCGAGAGGTCGAGATTGCAGTGAGCCAAGATGGTGACATTGCACTCCAGCCTGGGCTACAGAGCACGACTCCATCTTAATCAAAGAAGAAAGAAAGAAAAAAGAAAAGAAAAGAAAGACAGAAAGAAAGAAAGAAAGAAAGAAAGAAAGAAAGAAAGAAAGAAAGAGAGAAAGAGAGAAAGAGAGAGAAAGAGAGAAAGAGAAAGAAAGAAAGAGGAGTGAGAGAGAGAGAAAGAAAGAAGGAGGGAAGGAAGGAAGAAGGAAAGAAAGAGAGAGAGAGAGAAAGAAAGAGAAAGAAAGATAGAAGGAGGGAAGGAAGGAAGGAAGGAAAGAGAAAGAAAAGAAAGAAAGAAGCATGACTTTATAGTCTTTATTTGGAAATTAAGTGTGGTTTAAAGGTGTGTATTGGTGCCATGTTGACAAGGGGTGGACTTGGTGGTTTTTATAATATGCTAACTTGGCTAGGCTCAAGTTCATTTAGTAGAATTATCTTCACTGTAAGTTTCCAGTTGGTTGGGCTGCAAGATATTTTTTTCTTTTATTTGAGATTCGGGGGGTGGAAAGAAGCAGCCACCATTTTGTTTTTATGTGCAGAAGGCCAGTGCAGGCGCTACTGGTGAATTAGCATTTTGTTAGGTGCTGATGTGAGACAACAGCCAGGCCAGCAGCATCTCCACCTTCCTATGAACCCTCTTTTAGCTTCCTCCACTGCTTGGCCAGGTGTGCACGTGTGTGTTTATTTCCATGATGAAGAGCACCAGTTTTTTTTTTTTTGCGAGGCACGCACACCAGAAGCAGTAAGAGCCTGATTGAGTTCCAGTCTGTCCTTGTGGGTTCCAGTTTGACCGTGTGAGTTGCAGCTTATCCTTTCTCTTCCACATTTTATATGCTTTGTCCCTTCTTGATCTCTTGCCCTGCAGACTTTAAGCTCCAACATCAGATATGAAGATAACAGTTTTCCAGAAAATTTTATACCAAACCCTGCAATTACATAAGGTCAAATTATGTAATAAATTATATATGTCTCCTAGTGCTTCTGCTTCTCTTATTGAACTCTGATTGATATAGAATTTGGTACCAAGAGTGAGGAATTCTTTGGAAGAATTATAGTCTAAATAGGAGGCAGAGAAATGGTTTGATGGTTGCGGGAGTGAGATGTGGCATGATAACTTAGCAAGAATGTTAAGGAGAGTGAGAGATTAGTTTGGGTGAGTACCAGACAAAACTTACTGAAAAGGGTAATATTAAAGCTGTTTCTGAACTATTTATACCTAGATATGTAAGACCAGGGGAGTATAACATTCCAAAAGAGAATATAGTGTTAGTAAAAACACAGAATAGTTTCTTTCTTTCTTTTCTTTTTCTTTTTTTGAGACGGAGTCTTGCTCCGTCGCCCAGGCTGCAGTGCAGTAGCATGATCTTGGTTCACTGCAACCTCTGCCTCCGGGGTTCAAGTGATTCTCCTGCCTCAGCCTCCTGAGCAGCAGTTTGGGAGGCCGAGGCAGGCGGATCAAGAGGTCAGGAGATCGAGACCATCCTGGCTAACATGGTGAAATCTCATCTCTACTAAAAATACAAGGTTTCTACTTTTTTTCTTATGTTTATGCTATATACCTAGTCATGCAAGCCAGTGGAAGTTATCTTGATTCTTTCTCCTCCCTTATTCTTCACATGTCAATTGTTTACTGTCATGCAACAAATTATCCCATTAAGCATTTATTTGTCATGAGTTTATGTATCAGCTGGGAGGTACTTCTGATTGTGGTTGAGGTCATTCATACATTTGTCAGCTTTGGGTCAGCTTGATCTAGCTTTTTTTTTTTTTTTTTTTTTTTTTTTTTTGAGGACGGGAGTCCTCGCCTCTGTCGGCCCAGGCGGAGTGCAGTGGTGGAATCTCAGCCACTGCAGCTCCACCTCCTGGGTTTACGCCATTCTCCTGCCTCAGTCTCCGAGTAGCTTGGGGACTATAGGCGGCCCGACCACTCGCCCGGCTAGTTGTTTGTATTTTTAGGTATAGAGGGGGTTCATTTGCTTAGCCAGGGAGGTTCTCGATCTCCTGACCTCGTGATCCTCCCGTCTCGGCCGCTCTAAAGCTGCTGGGATTTACAGGCTTGGGAGCGCACCGCTGCCGGCTTTTTTTTTTTTTTTTTTTTTTTTTTGAGACGGAGTCCGCTTCTGTCAGCCAGGCTGGAGTGCAGGGTCGGATCTCAGCATCACTGCAAGCTCCGCCTCCCGGGTGTCAACGCCATTCTCCTGCCTCAGCCTCCCAAAGTAGCTGGGATACAGGGATGCCGCCACGCGCCTGGCTAGTTTTTTTTGTAGTTTTAGTGGAGTACGGGGTTTCACCCGTGTTAGCCAGGATGGTCTCGATCTCCTGACCTCGTGATCCGCCCGTCTTGGCCTCCCAAAGTGCTGGGATTACAGGCTTGAGCCACTGCCCCCGGCCTTAGCTGGGCTCTCTTAAACGTTTGTAGATTGGTTTGCTTTAAGTTGGTCTGGGATAGCTTCAGATGGGAAAAGCAGGCTCTTTTGTGTGTGCTCTCTCATCCTCCAGCAGGCTAGTGTGGGCTTATTCTCATGGAGGTGGCAGAGTTCCAGAAGAGGAAATGGAAATATTCCAGAGCTTTTAAAAGCCTCTGCTTATGCCAAACGTTCTAAAGCCCAATTGGCCAAAGGAAGCTGCATGATCTCTATCAGGGGAAAATAAACCAATAAAATTATAGGTCAAAGGGAGTGGGTATAGGACGACCAAATAATTGGAGCCATGAGTGCACCTAGTTGCTATGCTACATATCCAGTAAGTCGTTAAACCCAATTGATTATACTTTTTCAAATTATTTTGAGTTAATTTGTTTCCCCTGTCACTATCTCAGTTTTATTCCATTCTCATCTTCTGACTAGGCTATCACAATAGCTCCTGTTCAGGATGGAATTATGTCCCTACCAAATTCATACTCACCTAGAACCTCAGAAGATAGCCTTATTTGGAAATAGGACCTTCTGTAGATGTCATCAAGTTAATTTATACTACATTAGGGTGTACCTTAATCCAACAGCTGATGTCCTTATAAGAAGAGAGAAATTTGAACACAGATGTAGGTAGGAAAATGCCAAATGAAGATGAAAATACACGGGAAGAATGCCATATGAAGAGGAAGCAGAGATTGGAATCATGCATCTGCAAACCAAAGAAAGTCAAAGATTGTTGGCAACCGCCACAAGCTAGGAAGAGGCAAAAAGGAGTTTCTCCTAGAGCGTTTATAGAGAGCATAGCACTGATAATTGCCTTTGGGCTTCTACCATCCAGAATGGTGAGATAATAAATTTCTGTAAGCCACCTAGTTTGTGGTAATTGGTTATGGCAGCCCTAGGAAATGAATACAGCTCTGAAGCTACCTTCGTTCCCTCAAATTAAATTCCTAGAGTGGATGAAGATCCGTTCTCTGCATTATCTCAAATGGAGCTTTCTACAATGTAAACCTTTTCATGGGACTTTTCTCCTTTAACATTTCCTGAGAGACTTCAGGGTTAACTCTAATATCCTCAGCAGGGAATAGGGAGACCATCATAATTTAATCCTCTGTGAACTTCTCAGCTGCAGCTCTCTCCACTCCAATGAAAACATCCTAAGGCCCAGCCATATCTATATTAACAATTTATCATATGCTCTCACCTCCTAATCAATTTTAAGACCCAGCTCAGGAATCCCTTGCTGATTTTCTTTGATTGTTTAAGATTGACCAGGATCTTTATGCCTTTCTTGTGGAACATTTCATATTGTACTTTAAATATCTAACTATTTTTCTGTTTCCCACACAAGACACTAGGCTTTTTGGCAACTAATATTCCTTGGACATAGTATGAGTTAAATAGGTAATTTTTGTTTGAAGGTACATAAATAGATGGATGGGATTACATAGAAATGAGGCACAGCTTGGCTTGGCCATGGAATAAGAAAGTCTTTTCTGGGAATGATCTTTCTAAATTGTCTCTCTTTTTATTTTTTATTTTTTGCTATAAGATAAAATTAGTACATAAATTCCCCAATTTTTCCATAAATCTCTAAGAAACTTCAATTTATTCTTGTTTCTTAAAGAAATTCCTTTTCCCCTTTTGAAACTTTAAAAAATGTTGGAACAGAAATTTTGTAACAGAGTTATACAGTGTTTTTTATTTTTTTTTCTTCTTTTTTCATAGTGCTTAGGAGTTAACCAGGCAATGGATAAACATTTTCTTTCACTGGAATATAAGCTTCATGATAGCAGGGATTTTACTTATTTTCTCATTGATGTGTTCCCAGCACATAGAACTGTATCTGGCACGTAATGGTAATGTATACTCAATAACTACTTGTGAAATGATATCTTTGCTTGTGAGACTTTTTTTAATATCTTAATGTGATTGACCTGTCAGTTTTTTAAAAGAGAGATTCAATTCTACTTGTAATATTTTAGGGTTCTTAAAAATCACTTAGTCTACTTTTTATATGTTTAATAGCTTTTTGTGGGCTTTTAACACATTGCCTTGGTTTGACTGCTTTTACTAAATAAAAACCAGCCTGCCATTGGTAGAAATGGACTCACTCTCTTTGTTCTGATAACGTATTGTAAATAATAATATCAGTACATTATTTTAGAAAACGGAGTCTGTATTTCAACAATTTTTCTTCTTTCATTCCTCTAGTGTGGGCATATGCATGAGTGTCTGCATGTGTATCTGCATATGTGTGTGTGTGTGTGTGTGTGGTAGGGAAGGAGAGACTAATGAAGTGTAGCATCTGAATATGGCAATATTATTTTATAGTTAACTCAATTTTTTCCTAAGTCATCCTGTCACTTTGCTTTGCTGTGTTTAAATTTAGTATTTAATCATGTATACTTGGTTAGCACTTAAAATTTAATGACAAAAAATTGCAAAAGTTCTTTATAGAAATAAGAGTGTTAATATGGCCATCAGTGAAATATATAGTTTCTTTTTTTAAATTACTTAACACATTTTTGTATTTTTGATATGTTCTGATTAAAACTAATTCATGCCATTTATTCTCTCCGTGTACTTGCACTATATATTTGGAAACTGGATAAGTGGTGTTTTCTTAGAACTAGGCTATCAGTATAAATAAGTTATCAGTAAAATTAAGCCAACTACAATGCTAGTAATTTACTTAATTTATTCATAATATGCATAAGGTCTTTGAGTTTATGTGTAAAGTTTCAGAGACTTGAAAGATGGATAATTCTCCAGTATACAAATCATTCCTTGTTCTCCAGTAATAAAGCCCTGCCGTCATCTGGCAAAATAAATAGAAAAAAGTCCAGAAATATAGGCCATTTATTAAAAATTTCTCCCTTGTTGGTTTCTTAGGATTCTCTTCTACAGTGCCATCACTCCAGTCATGTAAACCATATGTCACTTCATAAAGAAAAAGAGTGGCTGAAGATACCCAAACTGTTTGTTTTGCTTCATCCATCCATCTATCCATCCATCCATCTTGCCTACTATCTGTCTGTACGTATTTAATAGGTACCTGCTATATGCTAGGCACTGTCCTGGATGTTTCACTACCTTTATCTTATCTAATCTTTACAAAAAACTTATTACCCACCCGTTTTACAGAAAAGAAGGTTGAAGCTCAGAGTGGTCAAATAATTTGTCCAGGGTCCTAGTCTTTAAGTAGTTCATCTGGGATAAAATTCAGATGCTTGACTCTGGACACTACATATAGTTGCCTCTTTTGGTAATTTTCCCCTGGAGTGGAAGGGGTAAAGGAAGGGGAAAAGGAAAGGAAGTCAGCAGATGATTTAACTAGTTGAGTTTGGCTTAAATATATTTGAGTTAGAGGTTCAGAATTAGAGAGCATGGGGAAAGAAGTGCTTATAGTTTACATTATGCTTTTGCAGGAATTAGAAAAAGTTCCTCCTCTAAGCCAGAACACACAGCTTAGTGAGCACAAAATGCACACTCAATGTAAGCCCTTTCTCACTGCCTTGCCAGGTGCCATTTTGTAGGGTGCAATCCACATCAACATTTGGGGTGGCCCTAAATGGGCGCATCTATCGTGAAGGCTTGGCAGAGGTGAGTGTAGGGAAACAATGTGTTAAACTTCCCATGCAACTGACTCCCACCCAATCCCTGCACTTCCCTGCTTCATTTATAAAAGATTATGAATGTATAGTTAAAAATCTGCTAATTTCCCACATGTTGAGGGCAAGGGAAGTACATAGTTCAGAATCCTCAGCCAGACTTGCAGTCTGCCTATGAACTATCATACTTGTCTGACATCCCAGCAAGACTTCTCCACACCACATTTTCAAGTATCCCATGATATTTTACATCAAATAGGGCTAAGAAAATTCTAACACATAATAAATGGGAAAAAATAATCTATAATCTAAAAATTAATAAAGTATCAACTCTTAGCAGATTAAAAAATATCACATAAGATTAAAATCCCATGTATCCCAAAGTAAATATTGGAATTAAATAGTAAAAGCAAAGTTCATTTTTTGCTCCATAGATGTTACGGAAAGAGAATGTTCAAAAGACTTGAGAATATTGGCAAGTGATTATTGAAGAGCTGAAATATTGACTGTAATCTTTAGAGGCAATGATGAAGTTAGGAGGGATTGGCAGCTCGGAATGAAATGGAGGGGTGTGGCACTGGAGGACCCAGAAGGTTAAGGAACAGAAAAAGAAGTAATTGAGGCAGAAAGCTGGCAAGAGAGAAGGCTATGGTGACAATGTGTGATACTCAAATTTAATTTTTGGAGGTGCATATTTAGAGTCCAGGGGTGGCTGAAAGTGAACTGACATATGGATCCCTGACAATGAGAAGACCAAGGAAGGAGGTCAAGGTGTTGGACAGTTTGGGTGGATGTTGATATCCCCCAGGATGATATCAGATCTCATGGTAGAGTGGAAATGCAATGAGAAGGTGCTACCGGTTTCCAAGAGAAATGGCAATGTGGAGGATATTGCCAAGACAGCGAAAACCTCAAAGAGGCAGACGCTTACTACACAAGTTAGGGAGGGATGCAGAGGTCTTCAAGTGGCACTGGGAAGTGATCTGACACCATCTCCCCTGGGAAGACAGGGAACGAGGTGTACCATGAGAAAATCCTGTTTCCACATGAGAACATGAGAAATATTCAGTCAAGATGCTGAGGACACGGGAAAATTTACTTAATGTGGATTCCACAGAGGTTCCAGAGGGCACAGCGGAGAGATCTGAGAGGAAGAGTAAATCTGTAGGGGTGTAGATGAGGAGGTGCAAGCCCAGAGCAGCATGGGGATTAGCATAGGAAAGATGTGAGATATAAGGGCTTTTGCTGATCATACTTTCCCATACAAGTATTCCAAGCAGTCTCCTGCTGTCTGGTGAGAGGAGAGAAGGACCAGGCTTCTCAGAAGAGGTCAGCTGCTCCTGTGATTAACCTGTTTCCTAGAAACTCTTGGTAGAGGGGATCAAACTGGTCCCTGTTAATTGTTGCTCTTCTGTCTAGCGACTAAAGTGTTTTAAGTTTGGTACTAAGATTTGCACTTTTTACTTGAGAATGCTGTGGAAAATAAAACAAGTTACATGAAAGACAAAGTAGCTAATGCCAGGCCTTTTCATTTCTAAGAATGAATTTCAACTATGTGTGTTATTGCTTAGAAAGGCAAATCAACTTTTTAGATTGATAGTGCACTAGAGATAAATCCTATGAATTAAAAAAAGCACAAGGGCATTGAGAGGGGAGTAATTTTCTTTCCTGGGAACTTCTAATTCCAGGGTGGCAGAACTGAACATGTGTGAGTCAGAGATGACGGGAAGGAAGGGTAGGCATGTGAAGCTGGTATTAAAATGTAGACAAGAGGAGTGAGTACCTCTGGATGGGCAGGGATAAATGAAAGTGTTTGCCTGGGAGTTTCTTCCTGAGTTGTCTGAATTGGGGAGGAGTTGTGGAGGAGCTGAGCTGCCAGTTCTGTTGATTGGATGTAGACTATATGGGAATGAAAAGTTTTCTGAAACACCAATCTCTTGCCCACAGAGAACTTTGTAACTCAGACCATAAGAGACAAGGGAGATGGGCATTCTGTTTGTGTCCTAGGTCACTCAGTGGAGAAGGACAAATGCATTGTGTAAGGAAAAGGTGTGTGGTACTACTCAGGTGGAGGTCATGTGGAGGATATAAGCCAAGTGAGATGGTTGGGAACCAGATTGTGAACCTAGCCAAAGGGTCGGAGCTTCTTTGTTGAACTTTATAAAGAAGATACCTTCTTTATAAAGGTGGCAAAACAGTGTGGTTGCTTATACACCTATCGAGCTGGGCCTATTAGGTCTGATTAATATAGTGGACCAAAGTGACATTCTGCAGGCTGATTAAATCAAACAAGTCCCTTTGGACCGTATTATGACAGAGAGCAGAGTAATTAACATATATCTAGGGCAAAACTGTGAATTTGTACTGCTGTCCATTCCAAACAGATGCAAACTACTTCTAATTCTCTTTTCCAACAGGTATGGAAAAAGGCTTTTGCCATATCAGCAGCTAGATATCATGTACCTGAGGCTGTGTTTGAAGTTACTATTTGGTTAGGTTTATGGTAGTCCACTGTCATTTGCCATAAAATATCTAGTTTTCTCAAAACCAAATGGGTGAATTAGATGGTGATATTATGGGGAATGCAATCCCTGTATCTTTTAAATCCTTGAAGTTTGCACTACTCTCTGCCATTCTTCTGAGTTGTAATGATTTTTTTTGATTAACTATGTTGGTAGAATAGAAAGGTAGTCTCAGAGGCTTCCACTTGCTGTACCTTACTATAATAACTCTTATTTATCAAAATACCAATGTGAGGACTCTACCAATGCTTAGTATATCCATTACAGTTATTTATATGGAAAGTGAGGAAATGATCACAAGATGAATCCTAGGACTCTCTATGAAGCAGACATGAACTAGAACCCTAATTGCTACTTGACACATATATATCTCTGCTTTAACAGCGGGACCATAATAGTGTTTTAGGTGCCTGAGTTAGCATTAACTGGTGCCCCATATCCAACAGGGTATTCCCCTTTCCTTAGTGAAAGTTTGCCTGAGTAAATGACTGTAATTTCCTTTGGGGGAGGACTTAGAGAATCACTGCTACACACATTTGTCATGGCACTGCAGGGTCCTTTCTTCTGGGATATCTTAGCTTCTCTTTTAATAAACAGGTTCTATGTTTGTGAATTTGCAAATATATGTATTAGTCATCTAATACATGATGCTAATGCTCTAAATGTTGTTTTTCAAGTTTAAAAAATGGACAGTAACCAGCATGAGCTGACAAATACAAAAATTGGAAATATGGATTTTTTCTAGAGGAAAAAACAGTTTTCTGAGGTGGTATAAGACCAGTAGTTCTTGCCCTCAAGGAGATCACAACTCAATTATGGAATCAATATCTACATATATAGCAAGGTTACTGAAGCGTGTTAAACACACTGCCAATTACAGTTCATTATAAAATAATTTTCTGTACATTTTTGAACTCACCCAACATTTTTATGGTCAGAGAAATGAGAATGTAGAAGTCTGCTTGTACAAGATTAATGCTGTTTCTAGCACTGTATTCCACCTATGAAACTAGAATCCTCTGCAGCTTCAACTCTTCTGATAAAATATAAATTATTTACTCCTTCAATATAAGAAGTTCTAATTAGAAGAGAAACATATAATCACTTTTAAGGAACTGGAATAAAGGCCAAATGCATATAACTCCTGAAAATCAACGGATTAAAAATGAGGAAATAAAGGATAAACTTTTTCTGTTATCAAGTAAATGTTATATAATCAGAAAGGAAAACCCCATGGAAATATAAACTACATATTCTCTAAAGATTACAGATATGCTTCCCCAATATTAGTCATATCTTTTTTGGTTCCCAGGAGATGTTATTTCCAGAGAAATATCTAGAGGAATCTACAGGAGGTAGTTTTCATTTGGCTCAAATGATGCACCAGGGATTTCTTAAATCTAAAATTAAATAGATTAAATTTACTTTTATGTACAGTCTCTTCAAATAACTTTCTTTAAAGACATCATTCTCTTAAATAAAGATTCTTGTCTCACCTAAAGTTCTCTCTTAATTACAAAAGGCCAAGTAAAATGCTTTCAAAGAGAAAAGTTTTCTTAGTTTTTATGATCAATTTGTAAAAAAAGAAACCTGGTATTTTTCAATTGTGCTCCTTTTTCTTTTATAGATTTTACAATTGATTAGATACCTCATTAGTATTTATGTAACAAATACAAATAAGCATGTATAGAGGTAGTAAGTTTCCTTTTGAAACAAGGGACATTAGAGAATATTTCATGTTTTCATCCTCAAACTTACATGTATTTAAAAAAATGGTTTAGCTAAACAAAACTTTAGCTAAAGAATTAATACTTAAAAATATGTAATTCCTAAAAATAAC